GGCGTGGTTATATTGGAGAAGGCGTGGCACTTGTCCGGGTTGGCTTCGATCCCCCGTTCGGTCAAGTAGTAGCCGAGGAATTTACCGGCGCAGACGCCGAAAGTGCATTTCTCCGGGTTAAAGCGCATGCGACATGATCTCGCGGTCTTGAAGACCTTCTGGAGATGTGCCGCATGGTCGTCTTCCGCGCCGGATTTGACGATCATGTCGTCCATATAGACTTCGAGCATGTCCCCGATCTCCTCGTGGAAGACGCGGTTCATCATCCGTTGGTACGTGGCCCCGGCGTTTTTGAGGCCGAAAGGCATTACGTTGTAATAATAATTGCCCGATGCTGTCATGAAGGCCGTGGCCTGTTTGTCGTGTTCGGCCATCGGGATCTGATTGTATCCCGAGTATGCGTCCATGAAGGACAAGAGTTTGAAGCCCGCCGAGTTGTCGACGAGCTTGTCGATGTTGGGGAGGGGGTAGGCGTCCTTAGGACATGCCCGGTTGAGGTCAGTGTAGTCAACACACATGCGCCATTTTCCATTATTCTTTTTAACAAGTACAACGTTGGACAGCCAGGTGGAATACCGGGCTTCCGAAATAAAATTTGCCTCTAAGAGGTCTTTTACAGCTTGTTCGGCTGCTGCCGATTTTTCTGGAGACTGGCGGCGACGGCGTTGCACCACGGCCTTTGCGGTCGGGCTGATGGACAGCTGGTGGCAGGCGACCTCAGGGTCGAGTCCCGGCATTTCCGCGGCGCTCCAGGCGAAGAGGTCGGCATTCTCGCGGAGGCAGGCTTGGAGCTGTCGTTTCGCGAGGTCGGGGAGTCCTGCGCCTACCCTTACGGTTCTGGTCGTGTCGTCCCCGAGGGGAATGAGCTCGAAATCGCCGTCCGGGATGGGGCGCGCTGGATGCTCGTTGGCCGCGTCAGTCTTTTTATTGTCGAGCTCGTCGGTGAAGCGACTGTCGAGCTCAACTGATCCGACCAGCTCTGTTGGCTTGTCCTTTGGCGTAGCGCTCGGTGCTTTCTTTTTGGTCGGTGGAGCGATGGAGTCGAAGCCTTTCAGCGCGGCTTCAAAACACCTTCGAGCAGCTTCGATGTCGCCGTTGAGGGTGACCACGGCTCCTCTTCTCGTGTAATATTTCATCTTCAGGTGGGCGGTGGAGGGTACCGCGGTGAGTTCTGCTATCGTTGTCCTGCCCAGGATGCAGTTATACAGGGACGGGCATTCGATGACTAAGAAGCGGATGCTGATGTCTCTGGCCGTTTCCTCTTCCCCAAAGGTGACTTTCAGTTCCACGTATCCCCAGGGTCTTGTCGTCGTCCCGTTGAACCCCTGGAGGTCGGAGCCTACGTAGGGGGAGAGGTTGGACTCGTTGAGCTGGAGAGTTGTGAACAAATGTGAGTACATTATGTCAACCGAGCTCCCTCCGTCGACGAGGAGGCGCCTGACGTCGAAGTTTGCCATACGTGCGCGTATGAGCAAGGGTATGTTGGAATTGGGAGATCCCCCGGGTAGTTCCTCGAGGTAGAACGTGATCGGGTTGGAGCGGCCTCGGAATCTGTCGAGCGTGCTCATCTTGCCGGAGTTGCCCGCGATGAGTTCGTCGAATTTCCTTTTCACAGATCCTATGGACAGACTCCTCGTAGCGCCATCAGAGATGACCATGGCTCTGGGGAAGTATTCCCATCGGCTGGTTGGTCGGATTGGCTCGCCGACTAAGCTGGGTGCTTCGGGGATGCCGAGTCCTCTGCTTGCGAACCAGTCCTCGGGGCGGCTGACGCACAGCGCGACCTGGAGTCTCTCACCGTCTTCTGGGCAGGGGAGCTCCTCGATTTTCTTTGCCTCCGGAGCCTCCGATCTGGGTGGTTCACCTCCCCGGGTGTATCGCTTTAAGTGCCCATCTTTGATTAGGATTTCGATCGCATCTTTGAGGTGGATGCAGTCTTCCGTTACATGCCCGTGGGTCCTGTGGAACCGGCAGTACTTTGACTTGTCCACGTTGGGTTTGGGCGGCGTTGGTCGTGGAAAACGGACACCTCCCTGCACAAACTCGGTTTTAGCGCATTCGGCCAGTATGCGTTCGCGGGAAGCGACCAAGGCGGTGTACTCGGTGAACCTTCCTGCCGGGCCGCGCGACTCGCGCCGTTCGCGGGGTTCGCGGTGGCGGTCATCCCGACGGCGGTCCCCTCCTCGCCGGTGGCTCGAAGCTCCGTCGTCTCGGTGCCCGCGGGGGGCTTCTCTGTCTCGGGTGTCGCGAGCGGAGTTGGCCGCTTGTGTTTCCTCGAACCGGATGTAGTGGGCGGCCCTGTCGAGGAAGTCTTGGAGGGACGTGGGCCGGTGTATGCCCACGGCCTCGTAGAATTTGGAGTCATGGCGCAGGCCTTGCTCCATTAAGTAGCGTTTCATTTCGTCGGAAGTCGTCACCTGTACGGCTTCCCGAGTAAATCTTTCGATGTATTTCCGGAGGGGTTCGTCGGGGCCTTGGATGATCGCCCCGAGGACTGCTTCCGTCTTCGGGTGACGCCGGGACGCTGTGAAGTGTTTGGAGAATAGGTCCTTCAAGACCCTCCACGATGTAACTGATTCGGGCTCCAGGCTTTTGTACCAGGTCATAGCGCCTTTCCTCAGAGTCGTCGGGAAGAGTCTGCACTTGATAGCTCCCCGGACATTGCGGTAGTCGAGCATGGCCTCGATGTCTTCCAGATGATCGTCCGGGTCGGAGGTGCCGTCGTACGTTGACAGCGTCGGTGGCTTCTCCATTCCTTGGGGTATAGGGGCCGCCATGATCTCCCGGGATAGTGGGGTGCGGTAGTCATCCTCGTCGCTGTGCGCCGGGGATCTCAGGGGGGATGAGCCGATCGCGGTGTGTCCCGGGTTTCGGGCCCTCGATCTCCGGCCTGTGCTCCCGCCTCGGGTTTCCTCGGTTGGGGTCGCCGCGGCGTTCTGGTTCCTCCCGCGACCGTGTCTTGCCGGGGATCTGGTGCGCTCCCGTGTCGCTTGGGGGCGGCGTCTCTCCAACCGCGGTCGGCGGTTCCTGGGTCGAGGTGAGGGGCTCCTCGAACCTCCGTTCTGGTCTTCCCGCTGGGGGTACCTCGGGGAGCCGCCGCGTTCCAACGCTCCAATTCTAGCGTTCTGTTGGGACAGCAGCTGGTTCGTCTGGTTGATGGCTGCAAAGAGGGCGGCTACCGTGGGGTCCGCTCCCGCCGGGATGGGAACGGGGTGGAATGCCGGCGGGCTCGGGGGGCGATGGTCGGCATGCAGGGGCCTTTCCTCGGACGATGGTGAGGCAGTTTGCCCGTCTCTTTCGTCGGCTTCATTCAGGCGCGCCGTTCCTACCTGCTTCCCGTTGGTGGCAGTGTTGAGCGCGAGATCGTGCGGAGTATCATCGCGGCGTGGGCTGGCCATGACCGTGGAGGTTTGGTGAAACTTTTGGTTTTTCTGCTCGGAGTAACGGGGGAGTTTCAGCTTCCCACAGACGGCGCCACTGATCTGACCTGATCAGGAGGGATCACGGACTGGCCACGCTTCGCCGGACGGTTATCTGTTCGCCGAGGTAAGAACGAGGAGGGGGTGTACCTGCAAAGCACTCCGACGCCCAAGTAAGAAGATGGACAGAGAGGAAGCAATAGTACAGAAAAGGGGGCAAGAAGAGTTACCTGACCCTCTTGAAGAAGAGGGTATTTATAGAGAGACCCCAGCGCTGGGCCAACGGTCATCCGAGGTGGGCCAGACGACCAGGCCCAACCCTAATGACTGCTAGGGCTTACGTGGCGTAGTGAAGACCAGGACGTGATCTTCGCCCTAGTTCAACCGCTCCTGGATCTCCGGAAAGTGGGTTTGACCTGCTCTTTCGGAGGTGGGCGGTTGGCCGATGACGTGTCCCCGCGGAGGGGAGCACGTGGAGAACGTGCGCCGAGCACGTTATTCTCCCGCGGAGGGAGCCCGGGTAGTCTCGCTCGTCTGGTGTGACGGACGACGAAGGGGATGCGGCGTGATGGCTTGTGCCCGGCGTACGGTCCTGCTCGTCCGAAGGGGCGTGTGCCAGGTGTGCTCAGTTCGCCTGTTGGGCCGTATTTGGTATTGGGCCTGCCGAGGTGAGGCCCACACCGGAACAAAAGTTATTTGACTTATTTATTTAAGACAAATATGAAATTTTAATAAAAATTTTCATCTCTAATTATAGAGTTTCTTAGTTTTTTTTTTCTGCTCTCTTCAATTTTTAAAATACATTAACTATTAATTTTTTTAATTATATTAAACACATCATTTTATGTAATATGTAATTAATACAATTAAATATTTATCAACTATTTCTCTAATAAAATAAATTATAAAATTATACAAAATAGTACTAATACTTTAACCAACATTTTAAATTTTCTAATTTTTCATATAAAATATGTAGGGAGGGAGGTAGTATCTCTCAAGCATAACATGGTTAACAGATAGACATAAATACAAAATATTATATATAATTCAATTATGTATCAAATAAATCCAACGGTATATAATTTAAAATTCATTTTATTAATAATTAATTTTTTTTAAAAATTTTATATAGGTTTAAGTTTAACTTATCTAATTATTAAATTAAATTTAAGCTTTATACATAATCCACCCTAAAGCCACTTAAAAAAAAACAACTTTTTCTTTCCTTGAACGTTCTAGGATTTTTTTTTAATAAAGCGAAAATTCCCGTTCTTATCAAAAAAAACTTTTCACCCTAAAAAAAAGTTTGAGCTTTTTTTTGTTAAAATAAGCGAAAAATCCCTTAATATACAAGATGTCACAGTTGTTCAAACGCGAAATGGCTATTCCTATTATAGTAAAAAAATGGATTAAGAAAAGCGCTTAAAATACAAAAGAAAAAACAACAATGAAGCTGGGTCCGATGGCAGCGTAGCAACTTCGCTGGCGCAAACACATGCTTCACACTATAAACCACTCATTTCATTTCATTCTCTCAAACATCTCTCGTTCTCTTTCTCTCTCTCCCTCTCTCCAACAATGGACCTCCATCGCCGGCCGCCGACTACCACCATCCCCGGCGCCGATGCGACAAACAACCATTCCCGCCGTCTCAAATCAGCTTCCCCTACACCATCCCTAAAAGCTTCCGATGCACTCCCTCTCCCTCTCTACCTCACCAACACAATCTTCTTCACGCTCTTCTTCTCCGTCGCGTATTACCTTCTCGGAAGATGGCGTGACAAGATCCGTAGTTCCACTCCTCTTCACGTTGTTACTCTCTCTGAGATCGCCGCCATTGTTTCCCTCATCGCTTCTTTCATCTACCTCCTAGGTTTCTTCGGGATCGATTTCGTTCAGTCGTTCATCTCACGCGCTTCCAACGACGGTTGGGACCTCGACGACACTATCCCCACCGAGCAAACCAATTTCCCAGTCGCTAACTCCATTCCAGATCAGTCTCTTCCCAAATCCACAACACCGGAACCCTCATTCTGCACGAAGGAAGACGAGGAGATTGTGAATTCCGTTGTAGAAGGCACAACACCTTCCTACACGCTTGAATCGCGGCTAGGAGACTGTTTCCGTGCCGCCGCGATCCGTCGCGAGGCTTTACAGAGAACATCAGGGAAATCGTTGAATGGTTTGCCGTTAGAAGGGTTTAATTATGACACGATTTTAGGGCAGTGTTGTGAATTGCCGGTTGGGTTTGTTCAAATTCCGGTTGGTGTAGCGGGACCGTTGTTGTTGGATGGGTTTGAGTATACAGTTCCGATGGCGACTACAGAAGGGTGTTTGGTTGCTAGTACTAACAGAGGGTGTAAAGCTATATATGCTTCTGGTGGTGCTGAAAGTGTTGTTTTGAGAGATGCTATGTCTAGAGCACCTGTTGTTAGGTTTTCATCAGCTAAAAGAGCTTCTCAGTTGAAGTTCTTCTTGGAGGATCCTCTCAATTCTGAGACTTTGGCTGTTGTTTTCAACAGGTTTGCTTCTTTGATTTTGCTTCTATTTCTTTTGAATGATTTTTTGTTTGTTAAAATGAAATTAGACTCTAATTAAGTGTTTATAGCATAATCATCTATCGTATAAGTGTTTATATAAAATTATGGAACTGTTTTCTTTTGAACTTTAAGTTGATGTTTTAAGCTATTAATATTATGGAGAAATTGTGAAAATAAACTGAAAATGAAAATGTATGAGCATCATAGCTGTTTCCTTAAGCTCTTTCAAATGTAACAAGTTGTGCTTATGTAAGTAGATTCTTTTAAGTAAGTGATTCCAATAGCCAGTTATTGGTATCTGAAAGGTATGGCTTTGTTCTCTTGTGTTGTACTGAATGATCAAAATGTTGCATGTGGGATAGTTTCTATAAATATATGTACCGACAAACAATACTTTAAATCTTTGTCGCGTAGCGATATATAGTGAAGACGTGTGGTATAATATGCAGTCTCAATTGTGTCCAAACGCAGAGATAACATGTGGAAATATAAAAGTGTCGTTTTAAATCATTGTCGTCACTTGGGATACAGATCACTTAAAGGCGGAAGTTCAATTTTCTTGCGTTGTAATATATTGCAAAGAATCGTAGGCAAATATGGAACCTTGATTACAATTGCAACACGGAGACATAAAAAACTTTGATGTCACGATGTAAATATGTCGACATTTTCTTTGAAGAAAATTTTATTGACAATAATAGGTGTAGATGTGATTAATTTGATTATTTACTCATTTCATTTATTGAATTTATTTTTGTTTGTTGATTTGTGTTTGTGATTTTTTTCATTTTACTGAGTTTGATGTAGATGTGTTTTTTTAGGTTGGATGACAATGTTTGAATTATTGTTTGTTTTTTAAAATTTGAGTGAAGAAAATGGGGGATAGAGGATTGGCATTTGAAAATAGTTTATGGGTTTTGTATGCAAAAAATATTTATGGTGAGTTTTGGTGTTTGTTTGCTGTGGTTTCAGGTCAAGTAGATTTGCCAGGCTGCTAGGTATTCAGTGTGCTATGGCTGGGAAAAATCTTTATATGAGATTTACCTGCAGTACAGGTGATGCCATGGGGATGAATATGGTCTCCAAAGGAGTGCAGAATGTTCTTGATTTTCTTCGAAATGATTTCCCTGACATGGATGTTATTGGCATCTCTGGTAATTTCCATGGCCTTTTAGATGAAACTTTCTTAATCCTTCTCTAGTAAACCTGTATGAAGTCATGAATTCCGTTTATTTTGCCTGTACTATCGCACATGTCTCTATCATGAAAGTGGTCCCATTACATTGATCATACTTGTTTCTTTCATGAAAGTGGTCCAATTACATTATTTTGTCTTTTGCATTGTCATCCCTGGCTTTTATACTTCTTTTATTGTTATAGGTGTTATGTAATTATAACAGGAGGCTTATGCCATACATTAATTACGTGGTATTTTTGTTAAGTTTCATTTATACATATGAAATTGTCAAGCTGAACTAATATTTGAGCTTGATCTGTTTGTTGTATCTGCATTTTGAGAAAAGGGTTATGCCATTTTCTTAGTTTAATCTCTTTTTTAACAGCATGGTGCAAATAATTGAACTTTGGCACTACTCTCCAACTCTCAACCAATTTATTTATATTTCTCATTTGATCAGATTCCTAATGTGTCCTAGCAGTTATTTCTTTTGTCATGTCAAATCCAGTTTGGTAGTCACTCTTCCAATTAACTTGCATCTTTTGAATGTCATATCAAAATCATTTTGAATGGAAAACTGGACCAAAAATGTGATGGTTGTTTCTACCAACTTGATCTTGTAGGTAATTATTGTGCGGACAAAAAACCTGCTGCGGTTAATTGGATCGAGGGACGTGGAAAATCAGTTGTTTGTGAAGCAGTTATCAAAGAAGAAATAGTGAAGAACGTATTGAAGACCAGTGTGGCTGCCCTGGTGGAACTCAACATGCTCAAAAACCTTGCTGGTTCTGCCATTGCCGGTGCTCTTGGTGGATTTAACGCCCATGCTAGCAACATTGTGTCTGCCATTTTCATAGCCACAGGTCAAGATCCAGCTCAAAACATTGAAAGTTCCCATTGCATAACAATGATGGAGGCCGTAAATAACGGGAAAGACCTCCATATCTCAGTGACCATGCCTTCCATTGAGGTGATTTTGCATTCCTAGATTTTAGTTTAATCTTAAACTTTCCAATTTAATAGCTCTAGGCCTAATGTTTTATATTTTTCTTGACCTCCCAGGTGGGTACAGTAGGTGGTGGGACACAACTTCCATCTCAATCTGCTTGCTTGAATTTGCTTGGTGTGAAGGGTTCCAGCAAGGAATCACCAGGATCAAACTCGAGACTCTTGGCAACCATTGTTGCTGGGTCTGTTTTAGCAGGCGAGCTGTCTCTGATGTCTGCCATTGCTGCAGGGCAACTAGTCAACAGTCACATGAAATACAACAGATCATGCAAAGATGTAACTAAAATATCATCTTGAGAGCGAAAACATGGTTGCAGTCATTGTTTATGTTGTCTAAAATAAAAAAACAGTAGGAGGGTCTCAGCGCAGAAACCAGAATTTAGGGAAGGAAAATAGAAGACACCGGATTCTTTGTTAATACCCATATCTGGCTCTGTTGCTATCTGTAGTGTTTTGTTATTTGGAGAGAGGAAACAAAAGTTCTACCTATTTAGTTATCCTCTCTAGATCCTTCCCCTCAGCCAAGCCACTGGTTGGGTGTTACCATTCTTGTTCTCCTTAACCAAAACATTGAAGTGTTGTATTATAATTCTTTTCCTGGTATCTATGTTTAGTATATAATATATGTATCATTGTCTCTAAAACATATTCTATATAGTTGGGGACCAGTACCCATGAAATGAATTTGACCATGTCTTTCCTATGGTTTCTCATTTAGGTTGTGTGGATGTTGAAGTGCCATTATTCTGTTGCCGTTTCCACTTATCTTTCAACCTTTTCAGATGACGTATTACATTGTCACATTGCTTCTACTTTTGTTTAGAATCATTATTTAAGCATTCATAGTCCCCTTGAATTGTAAAGATAGGATGAATTCACAAAGTTAAACTTGTGAATTGCCGTGCACTACTTACATAGTTTCCCTGCTACATTTTTGGGATCTAAACTCAACAACAGGGGTTCACCAATAACTAATGAGTTGTAGAGTGTAACCAAATTATTTTGAAGTAACATTTTGTATAAGTAAACTATCTTAGCAACAAAATAGACTTGCCTTAAATAGACAAATTTGTGGTACAAAATTTCCAAATGGTTATCCTCTACTCACACACACACACACACACTAAGGAATCCAATAATAGTAAATGACAACTCATGATTTTAGAAGTATCCTAAACAAAACAAGACAACAAAATTATAGAACTGTATTTGCATAGTAGTGATATGTTGTCATAATACCCTCTTTCAAGAGTACACTTGTCCTCAAGGGTGATACTTCAACAAGTTGTAGTAAAACTCCTTCCATTAAACTAGCAATTTCATCACCTATTTAACATCTTGTCCATAATAGTAGTATGCAGAGCTGTCACAGTGCGTCTAGGTAGCAGTCAGGGGGCTGAATGCAAATATTAGATTTGGGATGATATGCAGCAGACTTGTTTAAAGCAGCCTCTTGTATCTTAAATATTAATTCTAAAATTTGCTAAGAAAATTATGATCTCTATCTCTTGTGATGGAATCAAGGAGGCTAAGGAGTTTAAAAACACGACCCATCTTAGCAACATCCCTTGCAATATAAGGGTCAGACATGACTATGAAATGCGCATACTTCTTCAATCTATAACAAAAATGAGTTTTTTATCTGCCAAAGTAGGCAATCCTTCAATGCAACCCATGTTGATATCTATCCAAAATTTGGAAGAAATAAGATATGGCTTCAGTAAGTCAGGAGATGTACTTAAATCCGACTTGTTTCTTTGACACACCACACAATTTCTCATACATTATGTTTAAGGAATGATGATCATATCCAACTAGTGATTTAAAACAAAGCAACAATAGAGTAAACTTGGCAAATAATCAAGTGGTAGACAGAATGAGTAAAACTTTTGAGATGAACTTTCATTTCTCAAAGGGGTCATGTGAACAAAGGATTCTTAAAAGTTGAAAGCATGTCAGAGAACCATCTTGTTGATCATACTATTAAGAGAATATTCAATTTCCAATAAAGCATAATTGTTGATACTACTATTAGTAAGAGAATAATCAATTCCCAATAAACCATAACAACACTGTTTTTTACTTCTGCAGAAATTTAAGTTTTCTTCAACCTTGGAAGCAAATCTATAAGGCACATTCGTATGAACATTATGAATACTTGGTTATAATCTTACACATGCAACCATAATAAACATAGAAAGCAATTCTAAAACCATTACGATTACACAGAAGAAAACATAAAACTGAAATTGGATAGCTAAATCAAAGCATCAACCATTGAGCAATTAAGAAAGGGTCCGACTTTAGATACGGCAAACCCAACTATTCGAGATGTCGCCGCAGACTTATCCTTTGCTCTGGCCAGATTCTCTTTGCAAAGAGTCTCTTTCTCACATACTGCTTTCAGCTTCTCAGTCAGTTTCTTCTTCAGCGCTTCACATTCTTCCAACTCAAGCTCAGACTGTTCCACAAGCTTCATATTCTTAGCTGCTTTCTGTTTCAGCTCGCTAGACTGCATAAGAATCTCCTTAGCCTCAAGCACCTCAGTTAGCCTCTTGCTCAGCCATTCAACTTCCACTTTCATATTTCTTAATCCATCTACAAGAGCAATCTTGTCTTTCAAGGAACTTTCTTTAATACTGCGAACATCTTTCTTTTCTAAATCCAATATGATTCCGCAGATAATCTCCAACAATTCTGATCGGTGTTTCGCCGATTCCGTCACGCAGTTCCGAGCTATATCTCCATGCTTGTCTATTATTCTTCTTAATATTGGCATGAATTCCATCTTCACATGATATTCATTCACCCTGTCCTCAGCCCGGCTCGGCATCTCAGAATCAACCTCATCGCCATTTTCATTTCCCATCATAGCAACCATTTCAGATAGTTTGGAGCTATATGATTGGGAAGAACATCCACCCCTTAAAGCATACTTCCTTTGATTATCATTTGTTGTTTCACCATCCAAAATCTCCTTTTGAAGAGGGACTAGTTCAAATGGCGGAGGAGGAACACATGATAGTGGGTATCTTGAATCTTTCTCTAAACCATGATATTCCTGCACCTAAACATCATAATAGATAGTAAATATTATCAGTTAAAAAACTAAGATAAAACAGATGTTACATTATTTCATACCGAATCGATAGTCTCGGCCGGATAATCAACTTGTTGGATGTCATAAGGAGCAGAAGAATGCCCTATTGACAAAGATGTTATTCCATTTTGAGTAGGCTTTGCAGCTGATCTTAAGGAGCTGCGGCGGCGATTAGAAACCGCTTTAGAATTCTCAGTTAAATTCTTTCTAGCAGAGGTAGTACATTGCCAAGAATCTGACTGAAGAACATATATACGTAAAAACAACAAGTTGAAAGTTAGGGTTTATACCAACAATAGTGAAAATATATACTACACTTATGGTTTCTTGCACAATATTGAAAAGAAAAAAAAAACTTTCGCAGTGAAAATAAAAGATTCATGAGAATGGCCCACAAAAAAATCATGATATACACATAAATATCGTTGTTGCATGCAAGAGTTGATCAAGATAGCTTTACCATGTAGTGAAGATTGGTTGAGTCAGATTGTGAAGCATTTTCAGGCTCATCACGGTTTCTCCTTTTCTGCTTCTTTGCTCTAATCTTCTTTCGTGCCATGGCTTGTTCTTGACAGTTCTTGAATAGATAGAAACGAAGAGGTTTGTGCGTAAAATGAAGCAACCGAAATACTTATAACTGTGTGTAAAATGATGAAGGAGAAGAAAGCAAACTGTGTGTAAAATGAAGCAACCGAAATACTTGTTTTGTTTTTAAATTGAACTTTTCAGTTTTTATAAAATATGAAAATATTTTATTCTTTTTTAAATTAATATTAATTTATGATAAATACTATCATTTAACACTCTTTTTAAATACTGAACATTACTAAGGAACATTACTAAGGAGTTCCATAATTTCATAATACTTTAGTGCTTTAACGTAATGTTTCTTTTCAAGAGGCATTTTTTTTGATGAGCAACATTTCTTTTCTTCTTAGCTGATCTTTTTACTATCAATCACATATATTTTTTCTTCTTCTACTTGAGAGTCTTCTTTGCTTTAGTAAGAGTATGGATCTTCTTGTAAGGAGTCATTTTAGCTTTTAGCTCAACCTTTTTATTTTTCACCTTTTTCTTTGACTCCTTGTCGAACCTTTTACTAATATCATCATACTTAGTAAAACATTCACTGACAGGAGCAGATCTAGTATAAACTCCATTATTTTATGAATAGAACCCTCATAAGCACTGACAGAATCATTCACAACATCATCAATGTTATCACTCACATTATTCACCACAGCATTCACTTCAGAATTAATAGGGGCAACTTGTCCATCCTTCCTCTAAGTTTGAAACGCAATCACCAACATGTCATACAGGTTGTTTGACACATCCTAGTTGACATCTACATTCAATTACCTATTGAGGGAAGCATTTTTCACATCCATCTGATAAAGACTAAAGATAATGCTATAATACAGGCCTAGCAATATTCTGATGGCTTCAAGATGAGCAATAGGAGTAAAGTTTTTAGCATAACCTTGTGCTACAAGTTGAGTCTTCTTTCTATTAACAATCTCATGACTTTTCTTATTATTGTTATTAACAGCCTTAACACGGGATACAACAAAATCAACCGCAAACTCTTCATGTACACGATCATCATCAATCATTGAATTATTCTTAAGTATCACATCATCAAAATGTGAAATATTATAGGGAACAATGTCTAGAAAATGTTTCCTGACGTACAACTTATACTTGAGATTCAAACACACCAAGAGGAACACTTGTTTAAACTTAACAAATACAATACCTTGATTTGGAATAGTGAAATTTTCATATATAAGAGAAGGAATCACAATAGTAAGAAATATGACATAATCATTAATCTTCTTTAAATTCTTTTCTTGAAACCCTGTTAGTTTATCAATGTTGGGAGGACCTCCGACCTGACCATTAGTCTTTCCTTTAATGACACCTTATTACATGAGTCTCATAAAGTTCATAAGTGGTCATTCAGAAACATGAGTAAGATGTTGAAACATCTTGTATGACATTTTGGTTTGCTTACCAATTTAACACTTTCCATAGATTTTGCCTTCATATATGATTTCCTCTATGCTCTTAACCTTGGATGAGGGCTGAGAGATCCACATATAACAGTTGTCTTTGGATCTTAAACCTTCATTAACACTTCTTTATTTTTCCTAGAGACAATACATTCAGACTTGTTGTAGCTAACATTCAGACA